CCACATAGACCATAATATATGGAAACGTGCGGATTGTTCCCGATTGGTGCGCTATTACTTTGTGGAACGTTTCGCCGAATGGTTCCCGAAATATTGCCGTTTTTGTGGTGAAATTGGTCCCATAGGAATGAATGGCGGAATGTTCAACACTGGAGTGGGAGCTGACAAAAGCTAGAGTGTGAGCTGAAAAATCAGGACATGATTTCTAAACTGCCATAACTCCCTCATTTTCCAGCCCACCTACACAAATCTTATATCAAAACGTTCAGCTATCCCGGCTGCTATTAAACATGTCCACGGCTAAGCCATAGTCCTGACAGTTTTCACAATATGACCATTTGTTTGCAACTCACGCCGCCCATTGACATTCATTGAAACTCCACTCTAGCCACCTCAAATTTGAAGGGCAATTTCTAAACTGTGACTGTGCCTTCATTTTTAATATTTAAGAGACATACTATGCATCAAAATGTAGGTCTGGGTCTTGTGATTCTCACAATATAAAGCTCTTCACTGTAAGATTTATAATTTTTAAACTACAACCGTTTGAAGATGGCAACCGCCAGTGAAGTGAGCAAGTTGGAGCAGTTTGTTTTTAACTGCTCTTCTCTGCCCTTGCTGTAGATTGAGTTGCCATAGGAATCCAGGGGTGTGATCAGGCAGCAGAGTGACAAAAGACAGAGTGTGAGCTGAAAAATAAAAGTTGAAATGCATTTCTCACTCCATCCAGCTTGCCATGTGCACTGCTTACATTTCATCAATCAATTGGTTAGTGTCATGTTTACTATCTTTACTCACTCCGCCCACTCCACACAGTTACTCCGCCCACTCCATAAAGTGACTCTGCCCAGTCCAACCTTTTCACAGTTACTCCAGCCACTCCAACCACACAACAGTTACTCCGCCCACCCCACCCAGTTACTCCACCCACTCCAGTTGTAGACTACTGGTGGAGGCAAGAACACTTCACACAATTTCCCCAGAAATTGTAGCTTTTCTAGTTAAGTGTTGTTGCCTGACGACCACTTCCTGTTGTCTCACATATATTTTCTTATTATTATAGCCAAATTTACCCCCCTAACTCCTCCCACATTCCCCCCTGACTCCTCCCACAGTTCTTACACTACATAGACAGTAATATACGGAAATGTGCGGATTGTTCCCGAATGGTTCACAAAATATCAGTGTTTTTGTGGTGAAATTGGTCCCATAAGAATGAATGGGGGAATGTTCAAAAACTAGAGTGGGAGCTGACAAAACCTTTTCACAGTTACTCCTCCCACTCCAGTTGTAGACTACTGGTGGAGGCAAGAACACTTCACACAATTTCCCCAGAAATTGTTGCTTTTTTAGTTATTATTATTATATTATTATACAGTATTTATATAGCGGCAGAAGGTCGCTCAGCGCTGTACATCATAGTGGGGGACAGAACATGAGACAATGCAGTAACAATACACGAGGGGTGCGAGGGTCCCGCTCTTTCCAGCTCACAATCTATTCTCCTTTCTGACTTTTCTTTATCTCAAGCTTTTTTCTACGCCTTCATTATTCATATATTCCCAACAAATATGGCATTTCATCTCGCATACAGCTGTGCCGGATTCCACACGGCTTACACGCTCCCGAAATGGACACACAAACTTTGCCATATAAATCATCCTGTGCTGGCATTTCCCAACACTTAACATTTCGCTCAACATAAGAGCTCCCCAGTACATAGGCAGCAATCATTTTACCTATTTTGTTGTATCTACTATACTCTCTGTATCTACTATACTCTTTGTATCTACTATACTCTCTGTATCTACTATACTCTCTGTATCTACTATACTCTTTGTATCTACTATACTCTCTGTATCTACTATACTCTTTGTATCTACTATACTCTTTGTATCTACTATACTCTCTGTATCTACTATACTCTTTGTATCTACTATACTCTTTGTATCTACTATACTCTCTGTATCTACTATACTCTTTGTATCTACTATACTCTTTGTATCTACTATACTCTCTGTATCTACTATACTCTTTGTATCTACTATACTCTTTGTATCTTCTATACTCTCTGTATCTACTATACTCTCTGTATCTACTATACTCTCTGTATCTACTATACTCTTTGTATCTACTATACTCTCTGTATCTACTATACTCTCTGTATCTACTATACTCTTTGTATCTACTATACTCTCTGTATCTACTATACTCTCTGTATCTACTATACTCTTTGTATCTACTATACTCTTTGTATCTACTATACTCTCTGTATCTACTATACTCTTTGTATCTACTATACTCTTTGTATCTACTATACTCTCTGTATCTACTATACTCTTTGTATCTACTATACTCTCTGTATCTACTATACTCTTTGTATCTACTATACTCTTTGTATCTACTATACTCTCTGTATCTACTATACTCTTTGTATCTACTATACTCTTTGTATCTACTATACTCTCTGTATCTACTATACTCTTTGTATCTACTATACTCTTTGTATCTTCTATACTCTTTGTATCTACTATACTCTCTGTATCTACTATACTCTTTGTATCTACTATACTCTCTGCATCTACTATACTCTTTGTATCTACTATACTCTCTGTATCTACTATACTCTTTGTATCTACTATACTGTTTGCATCTACTGCTTTGCCGTATACATCTGTAATAGGGATATATTTCAACCACACGTGTACTTTTGTTTAAACCCACGCCCCGTCTGCGAAACGGGGATGCTACATGATGTGTCTATGTTCGGATTGTGATCCGTATTTGTATGTACAATGCTACACCTTACTTTTTATAATAAAAATATTTTTTTAAAAAAAAGTTATTTTTAATTTCTATTTTAGTTACCTAAAATATTTCATTTTAATTATTTTTGTTACATAAAAGTGTTTTTTTATCGTATTTCAATTTTTTGTTACTTAAAAGATTTTTATTTTTATTTTTTGTTACAGTAAAGATTTTAAAAATGATTAAACTTTTGTTACATAAAATATGGAGGAAAAATATATTTTAAAAATACTGTTCCCAAATATATTGACATATATTTGAAATACTACAATTTTGGATATAATCAGTATATTTTTAAAATATATATATTTTAAAAAAAAAAAAAATATATATATATATATATATATATATATATATATATATATACACAGTATGTTGAAATGCATTTATACTGTATGTTGAAAAATATTTATAAAAATACATTTTCAAATATACTGTATGTCTTTAAAAATACATTTAAACTACATTTTGGAATACATTTACAAATATATATTTGAATATATATTAAAATTACTTTTTTTATATTAAAACAAATCTGAAGAATATATTTAAAAAAAATATATTTTTAAAAATATTTTTCAGATATTTTGTAATATATATATATGTATGTATGTATGTATGTATATATATATATATATATATATATATATATATATATATATACATACAAACACAACTTTTATATATATATATATATATATATATATATATATATATATTATTATATATTGAATACTGCCAAAATTGTAGCATTCCAAATAGATGTCAACATATTTCGGAAGAGTATTTTTAAAATATATTTCAAAATATATACTTTTTTTCCACGTGGGAAAGATCGCCTAATTTAAATGATTTTAATAACATTTTGCACATAAATATTTATGAGCGTGGGGGGGGGGGGGGGGAGAAATGTAATAACTGAATGTTTGCAAATACAAATATTACCTGGTCAGAGAGAGAAGTTATTTTTTCCTGGTTGATATTTTCAGAGTTATTGCCTTAGATAACGGGGGAGATAAAAGGGGCAGAGAAAGATCTGAAATAAAATTTTATGTACCCCCCCCCCCCCCACTCCCCTCATTGGGATACACAGGGTCCATTTATATGTTTCTCCTCCTGTGTTTGGCCTAAACGCGGCACAAATGACGATTCCAATGATTTCTCATCTATAGAAAACGGAAACAAAGTATCCTTCCCTCCCAGAGAAACATCATAGAGAGCAACATTTCACATCCAATAATAACCAGGAACTCCCAACAGCTGGAATATGTGACATTTCCTGCATACCGCACTCTATATTACCCCAAGTATTGTCCCCGCCCCCCGTATATACACTATATTACCCCAAGTATTGTCCCCGCCCCCCGTATATACACTATATTGCCCCAAGTATTGGGCGGCCGGCCTTTCTACGCACATGACCTTTAATGGCCTCCTAGTCTTAGTCCGTAGGGTTCAATATTGAGTTGGCCCCGCCCTTCCCACACACATGACCTTTAATGGCCCCCCAGTCTTAGTCCGTAGGGTTCAATATTGAGTTGGCCCCGCCCTTTCCACGCACATGACCTTTAATGGCCCCCCAGTCTTAGTCCGTAGGGTTCAATATTGAGTTGGCCCCGCCCTTTGCAGTATAACAGCTTCAACTCTTCTGGGAAGGCCGTCCACAAGGTTTAGGAGGGTGTCTATGGGAAGGTTGGACCATTCTTCCAGAAGCACATTTGTCAGGTCAGGCACTGATGTCGGGGGAGGAGGTCTGGCTCGCAGTCTCCGCTCTAATTCATCCCAAAGGTGTTCTATGGGGTTGAGGTCAGGACTCTGTGCAGGACAGTCAAGTTCCTCCACCCCAAACTGGCTCCTCCATGTCTTTATGGACCTTGCTTTGTGCACTGGTGGGCAGTCATGTTGGGACAGGAAGGGGCCATCCCCAAACTCTTCCCACAAAGTTGGGAGCATAACATTGTCCAAAATGTCACCTTAAGAGTTCCCTTCACTGGAACTAGGGGGCCAAGCCCAACCCCTGAGAAACAACCCCACACCATAATCCCCCCTCCACCAAACTTTACACTTGGCACAATGCAGTCAGGCAAGTACCGTTCTCCTGGCAACCGCCAAACCCAGACACGTCCATCGGATTGCAAGACAGAGAAGCGTGATTGGTCACTCCAGAGAACACGCCTCCACTGCTCTAGAGTCCAGTGGCGGCATGCTTTACACCACGGCATCCGACGCTTTGCACTGCACTTGGTGATGGAAGGCTTGGATGCAGCTGCTCGGCCATGGAAACCCATTCCATGAAGCTCTCTACGCACTGTTGTTGGGCTCATCTGAAGGCCACACCAAGTTTGGAGGTCTTTAGCTATTGACTCTGCAGACAGTTGGCGACTTCTGCGCACTGTGCGCTTCAACATGCGCTGACCCCGCCCTGTCATGTGACGTGGCCTACCACTTGGTGGCTGAGTGGCTGTTGTTCCCAGTGGCTTCCACTTTGTTATAATCCCACTAACAGTTGAGCGTGGAATATTTAGTAGCCAGGAAATGTCACGGATGGACTTATTGCCCAGGTGGCCACCTATCACGGGACCACGCTTGGAGTCAGTGAGCTCCTGAGAGCGACCCATTCTTTCACCAATGATTGTAGAAGCCGTCTGCATGCCTAGGGGCTTGATTGTATACACCTGTGTCCATGGAGGGGATTGGAGCACCTAAATCACCTGATATGGAGGGGATTGGAACACCTGAATTACATGATTGGAAGGGGATTGGAACACCTGAATCACATGATTGGGAGGGGATTGGGACACCTGAATCACATGATTGGTAGGGGATTGGAACACCTGAATCACATGATTGGGAGCGGATTGGAACACCTGAATCACATGATATGGAGGGGATTGGAGCACCTGTATCACATGATATGGAGGGGATGGGAACACCTGAATCACATGATTGGGAGGGGATTGGAACACCTGAATCGCATGATATGGAGGGGATTGGAACACCTGAATCACATGATATGGAGGGGATTGAAACACCTTAATCACATGATATGGAGGGGATTGGGACACCTGAATCACATGATATGGAGGGGAATGGAACACCTGAATCACATGATTGGGAGGGGGGGCAGGGCCAACACTTTTGGCAATATGGTGGATATAATGAAAGGTGTCTTTGGAGAAGATTCCGATGAGTTATATTGATTTCCGAAAGTTCTTATATGGACAGTAATTATAGATCCATCTAGAGGAACATTTCAGTGAGACACTTTTATCCATACTTGTCAGACAAGCCTAGGCAGGTCATACATGGAGCGAATTTCGTTCCTGCAACCTCGAGTTCCACTCTATTTCACCATCAATGCAGTCAGTGTTGACAGGGGAATCCCTCCCACTGAGCCATTGTGTTCTCCTGGAGGGGAAAGCCAGTGATAGGAATAGGTTTACCTGAAGAGATCGGTTTTCAGAGATCGCCTAAAACTGGGCAGAGTAGGCGATAGTCTGATAGATTGGGATAGAGAGATCCAGAGGATGGGGGAGGCTCTGGAGAAGTCCTGGAGATGAGCATGGGAGGAGGAGACAAGGGAGCTAGAGAGCAGGAGGTTGTTTGGAGGAGCGGAGTGGACAGTTTTGGTGATATTTGGAGACCAGATTGGTGATGTAATTGGAGGCAGAGTTATAGATGGTTTTATATGTTGTTGTTAATGTTTTGAATTTTATTCATTTGGCAATGGGAAGTCAGTGGAGGGATTGGCAGAGAGGGGTGGAGGACACTGAATGGAGGCCAGTGGAAGGATTGGCAAAGAGGGTTGGATGACACTGAATGGACGCCAGTGGAACGATTGGCAGAGAGGGGTGGAGAACACTGAATGGCGGCCAGTGGAGGGATTGGCAGAGAGGGGTGGAGGACACTGAATGGAGGCCAGTGGAAGGATTGGCAAAGAGGGTTGGATGACACTGAATGGACGCCAGTGGAAGGATTGGCAGAGAGGGGTGGAGAACACTAAATGGCGGCCAGTGGAGGGATTGGCAGAGAGGGGTGAAGAACACTGAATGGAGGCCGGTGGAGGGATTGGCAGAGAGGGGTGGAGGACACTGAATGGAGGCCGGTGGAGGATTGGCAGAGAGGGGTGGCAGATATGGAACAGTTAATAAGGTGGATGAGTCTGGCAGCAGCATTCATGATAGACTGAAGAGGGGATAGCCTGCGCTGAAGTTGGCCAATGAGGAGGGAGTTACAATAGTCAAGGTGAGAGATAACCAGGGAGGGAATAAGTTGCTTAGTGGTTTCAGACGTTAAGAATGTGCGTATCTTGGAGATGTTGGGGAGGTTGGAGATGTGGCGGAGGTTGGAGATGTTGCAGAGGTTAGAGATGTTGCGGAGATTGGAGATGTTGCAGAGGTTAGAGATGTTGCGGAGGTTGGAGATGTTGCGGAGATTGGAGATGTTGCCGAGGTTGGAGATGTTGTGGAGGTTGGAGGTGTTGCGGAGGTTGGAGATGTTGCGGAGATTGGAGATGTTGCCGAGGTTGGAGATGTTGTGGAGGTTGAAGGTGTTGCGGAGGTGAAGTCTACAAGATTTGGACAGCGTTTGGATTTGGGTCTGAAAAGACAGATGGGAGTCTAGGATTACACCTAGTACCCTGGCATGAGTGGAGGGACTGATGGTTGTATTATTGATCTTGATGGAGAAGTTGGGGGAGGGGGCACGGGCTGGAGGGAATAGTATGAGATCTATGGAGGCTCTTTATGTGGATTGTATCCATAAGTCTCGTTAGCGTTGTTATTTCGTAATCCTAGATAAGAGTTTCAACCATAATGAGTAGCTAAGGGCCACCTATGGGCCATCCTCATAATTTAGACCTTATCTAGAATATCTTGGTCGATGGCTACAAGACGTTCCATGTGCATGATCCATCGAGTGAGTCTACCCATTCCGCTGGTGAGGGAGCCTGCCTAGACTTCCAATCTCTTCCAATCTCTTACTTCCCACTTACAAAGATGAGAGAGGCCTGTAATTGGCATCATAGGGAGACGTCAACTATGAGAGACAAAATGAGAAAACAAATCCAGACAATCACATTGGCTGATCTGGAAAGAATTTATTTGCAAATTATGGTGGAAAATAAGTATTTGGTCACCTACAAACAAGCAAGATTTCTGGCTCTCACAGACCTGGACCTTCTTCTTTAAGAGGCTCCTCTGTCCTGCACTCATTACCTGTATCAATGGCACCGGTTTGAACTTGTTATCAGTATAAAAGACACCTGTCCACAACCTCAAACAGTCACACTCCAAACTCTACTATGGTGAAGACCAAAGAGATGTCGAAGGACAACAGAAACAAAAATTGTAGACCTGCACCAGGCTGGGAAGACTGAATCTGCAATAGGCAAGCAGCTTGGTGTGAACAAATCAACTGTGGGAGCAATAATTAGAAAATGGAAGACATACAAGACCACTGATAATCTCCCTCCATCTGGGGCTCCACGCAAGATCTCACCCCGTGGGGTCAAAATGATCACAAGAACGGTGAGCAAAAATCCCAGGACTGCACGGGGGGACCTAGTGAATGACCTGCAGAGAGCTGGGACCAACGTAACAAAGGCTACCATCAGTAACAGACTACGCCGCCAGGGACTCAGATCCTGCAGTGCCAGACGTGTCCCCCTGCTTAAGCCAGTACATGTCCGGACCCGTCTGAAGTTTGCTAGAGAGCATTTGGATGATCCAGAAGAGGATTGGGAGAATGTCATATGGTCAGATGAAACCAAAATAGAACTGTTTGGTAGAAACACAACTCGTCGTGTTTGGAGGAGAGAGAATGCTGAGTTGCATCCAAAGAACACCATACCTACTGTGAAGCATGGGGGTGGCAGCATCATGCTTTGGGGCTGTTTCTCCGCAAAGGGAGCAGGACGACTGATCCATATACAGGACAGAATGAATGGGGCCATGTATCGTGAGATTTTGAGTGCAAACCTCCTTCCATCAGCAAGGGCATTGAAGATGAAACGTGGCTGGGTCTTCCAACATGACAATGATCCCAAACATACCGCCCGGGCAACGAAGGAGTGGCTTCGTAAGAAGCATTTCAAGGTCCTGGAGTGGCCTAGCCAGTCTCCAGATCTCAACCCCATAGAAAACCTTTGTAGGGAGTTGAAAGTCTGTGTTGCCCAGTGACAGCCCCAAAACATCACTGCTCTAGAGGAAATCTGCATGGAGGATGGGCCAACATACCAGCAACAGTGTGTGCCAACCTTGTGAGGACTTCCAGGAAACGTCTGACCTCTGTCATTGCCAACAAAGGATATATAACAAAGTATTGACATGAACTTTTCATATTCACCAAATACTTATTTTCCACCATAATTTGCAAATAAATTCTTTCCAGATCAGCCAATGTGATTGTCTGGATTTGTTTTCTCATTTTGTCTCTCATAGTTGAGGTCTCCCTATGATGCCAATTACAGGCCTCTCTCATCTTTGTAAGTGGGAGAACTTGCACCATTGGTGGGGACTAAATACTTTTTTGCCCCACTGTATGTGAATCTGATTGATGGCACCACCAACAGAGATCAGAAAGAGTGGGAAAGATACAATGTGTAGCACTCCCCCTCCCCCCCCCCCGTAGGGGTTGCTGAGTTTTGGGTCTCCCTATAGTCCTGCACAGCTAGGCAACGCACATTTTTTTCATATAGCTTTGCATCCACAAGACAGTAACCAGTCTTTGAGCTTGGGATTTTTTGGGGGATTTTATTAGGGGAATTTCAAACTTAGATGGGGTAAGGGGTGCATGGGATGCCCAAAGGAATTGCAACAGAGGACAAACTTCCTTGGACTACATACAAGTCTCTTCACAACAAAACTCCTCTTCTGGAGAGCTAGCCAGCATCTCCCGTTGTACCACCCCACACCCTAGATACTGCTCTGTCCAGCTGTTCTGGGTGAATCAGTCTTGGGTAGCAGCTAATCCAGAGTGCTTCTCCACCATACTGGCCCAGGGGGTGCAGGTCTACTCACTCAGTCCTCCTCCTATGAGCTGGTGTATTGGTGATTGCTCTCAGGCCTTCTGCTGGGCTGCTTCTTCTCTGCTGCATAGGTGGTCTTTCAGGAGAAAAGACGAGGAAGCCCAGGCAAATGCGCCAATGTTTAAGATGGCTGCACCAATTTGCGCAAAAATGTGTGCATGCGCATAGGCAGGCAGCACGTAATCGCGCATTCCTGTGCGTGAAAGTGCACCGGCACACGCAGGGTGCGATATTTGCTATCAATCAGTGGCCTTCATAAGGACTGCAACTCTGCTCAGTGATTGCTGGATTATCATCAGTCCCCCCAGTTCCTGTGTTCCTGTATTTACTATTGATTAGCCGTTACCAAACCGGCTTGAACCTGACCTTGCTTTGGCTCTCTTCCTGGTTCTCTACCTCAGGTTGATCGTGGCCTTGATCCTGTCTGATGCTCTGTGTGTGACCCCGGCTTGATCCTGACCTTGCTCCTGTCTGCTGCTCTGTGTGTGACCTCGGTTTGATCCTGATCTTGATCCTGTCTGCTGCCCTGTGTATGACTCCGGCTTGATCCTGATCTTGATCCTGTCTGCTGCTCTGTGTATGACCCCGGCTTGATCCTGACCTTGCTCCTGTCTGCTGCCCTGTGTATGATCCCGGCTTGATCCTGACCTTGCTCCTGCCGGATGCTCTGTGTATGACCCTGGCTTGATCCTGACCTTGCTCCTGCCGGATGCTCTGTGTATGACCCTGGCTTGATCCAGACCTCGCTCCTGTCTGCTGCTCTGTGTATGACCCCGGCTTGATCCTGACCTTGATCCTGTCTGCTGCCCTGTGTATGACCCCGGATTAAACCTGACCTTGATCCTGTCTGCTGCCCTGTGTATGACCCCGGTTTGATCCTGACCTGGCTTCTGTCTGCTGTTCTGTCTTGACCCTGGCTCTTGCTACTGAATACTCTACTCATCCTCCGGGATCCACGAGTCCTCTAAA